CGTCAGGAGTGAGAGGAGAGGGAGGCCAAGAGACCTCGAGGATCTGGTAGTTATAGTGGTGCTCCATCGAGAGGTTAGTTTCAGCACGGTAGAGGCCATCCATTCAGGCATGCTCAGCCAGCTCGCCTAGGTTATCGTAGGGATTCATCGAGTCATGGTTTTCATAGTTCTCATCTGGGCCAATCATCACTTAGTGCCTTCCAACTCAGAGTTTGTCCCGTGCTCCATTAGTTTAGGGTTCTTCTATGCCAAGTGCATCTGTTAGTCACTCCGGTGCAAGGGGTTCCCTTCAGTCCCCCCTTATCCAGCACTTGGGATTTGTTATGAGTGTGGAGAGATAGGCCATATGTGGAGGCAGTGTCCTCGTCATCTTGCAGGTTCATCTTAGCAGAGGGGTCAATCATTGGCTTTAGCGCCAGTTACTTCACCACTACTCGCCCAGCCAGCTAGGGGTGGAGGTCAGTCAGCTAGGGGTTTCCCTAGAGGGGGAGGTCGATTAGGTGGCAGTCAGGCCCGTTTCTATGCACTTCCAGCTAGACCCGATGCTATTGCTTTCGATGCTGTAATTACAGGTATTGTTTCAGTCTGCCACAGAGATGCCTCTGTATTATTTAATCTCGGTTCCACATTTTCTTATGTGTCATCATACTTTTCTCGTTATTTGGGTATGCCCCATGAGTCTCTTGTTTCACCTATTCATGTATCTACCCGGTGGGCGATACTGTTGTTGTAGACTGTGTGTACCGCTCGTGTGTGGTGACTATTGGGGGTCTGGAGACCCGAGTGAACCTTTTATTATTGTGTATGGTGGATTTCGATGTCATTTTGGGCATAGATTGGTTATCTCCATGTCGTGCTATTCTGGACTGTCATGCTAAGACAATCACATTGGCTATACCAGGTGTGCCACGGATTGAGTGGCGAGGTGTGACTGATTATGTTCCCAATAGAGTGATCTCATTCTTGAAAGCCCAGCGTATGTTTGGGAAGGATTGTCTTTCGTATTTAGCCTTTGTGATAGATGTCGGTGTTGAGACTCCCACTATTAATTCTATTCCAATTGTGAGGGATTTTCCCGATGTGTTTCCTATAGACCTTCCGGGCATGCCACTGGACAGGGATATTGATTTTGGTATTGACTTTGTATCGGGCACTCAGCCTATTTCTATTCTGTCGTATCGTATGACACCAGCGGAGTTGAAGGAGCTAAAGGAGCAGCTTCAGGAACTCCTTGAAAAGGGGCTCATTCGGCCTAGTGTGTCACCTTGGGGTGCGCCAGTTCTATTTGTGAAGAAGAAAGATGGCACTATGAGGATATGCATTGATTATAGGCAATTGAACAAGGTAACAATTAAGAACAAGTATCCTTTGCCTCGCATTGATGATTTATTCGACCAGCTTCAGGGAGCAAGAGTGTTCTCCAAGATTGATCTTAGTTCAGGTTATCACTAGATGAAGATCAGGGACTCGAATATTCTTAAGACAGCTTTCAGGACCCGATATGGTCATTATGAGTTCTTGGTTTGGTGGGTCATTATCGCTAGTGTGTTCAGGGATTCTCATCTATCGCATCGCCCTTAACCAGGTTGACTCAGAAAGGTGCTTCATTTGTATGGTCGGATGAGTGTGAGGAGAGCTTTTAGAAGCTCAAGACAGCTTTGACTATAGCTCTAGTGTTAGTTTTGCCATCAGCTTTAGGTTCATATACCGTGTATTGTGATGCTTCAAGAGTTAGTATTAGGTGTGTATTGATGCAGGAGGGTAGAGTTATCTCTTATGCTTCTCGTCAGTTGAAGCTTCATGAGAAGAACTACCCTGTTCATGATTTGGAGTTAGCTGTCATAGTTCACGCGTTGAAGATTTGGAGGCATAATCTGTATGGTGTGTCTTGTGAGGTGTTTACTGATCATCGTAGCCTCCAGCACTTGTTCAAGCAGAAGGATTTTAACTTGAGGCAGCGGAGATGGTTGGAGTTGCTAAAGGATTATGATATCACTATATTATACCATTCGGGGAAGGCCAATGTGGTGGCTGATGCTTTGAGCCGAAAGGCGGTGAGTATGGGGAGTTTGTCATATATTCCAGTTGGGAAGATACCTCTTGCAGTTGATGTTCAGGCCTTGGACAATCGATTCGTGAGGTTAGATATTTCAGAGCCCAGTCGGGTATTGGCTTGTGTGGTTCTCGGTCTTCCTTATATGATCGCATCAGAGAGCGCCAGTATGATGATCCGCATTTTCTTGTCCTTAAGGATAGAATTTAGCATGATGATTCCAGAGATGTGACCATTGGTGATGATCGAGTGTTGAGGATGTAGGGCCGGATATGTGTGCCCAATGTGGATGGGCTTCGGGAGTTGATTCTGGAGGAGGCCCACAGCTCGCGGTATTCCATTCATCCGGGTGCTGTGAAGATATATCAGGATTTGAGGCAGCATTATTGGTGGAGAAGAATGAAGAAAGATACTGTGGGATTTGTAGCTCGGTGTCTCAATTGTCAGCAGGTGAAATAGGAGATCGAACTCTTGGGAGATACAGAGTAGATATCCTCACCTGTTTGAGGCTTTAGGTACGTTTCTTGACTCGTTCAAAGACAAACGTTTGTTTAAGTTGGGGAGGATGTGACGACCCAGCCAATCGTCTTATGAGTTACTGCTCAGTTTCCCCCATTTCTGCTTCTTATTGTTTTGTCTATCGGTTCTATAGGTGATCGGGTTGGTTGGCTCGGGTTCGGGAAGGATTTGGTAAGGTTTGAGACATTTAGTCTCTTTTGAGGAAGCTTAAGTTGAAAAATTCAACCGGATGTTGACTTATGTGTTAGAGGGATCGGATGTGAATTCTGATGGTTCGGATAACTTTGGGAGGTGATTTGGGACTTAGGAGCATGATCGGAATGTGTTTTGGAGGTCCGGAGTAGATTTAGGCTTGAATTGGCGAAATTGGATTTTTGGCGCTTTCCGGTTGATAGGTGAGATTTTGATATAGGGGTCAGAATGGAATTAAGAGAGTTGCAGTAGTTCTGTTCTGTCATTTGGGATGTGTGTGCAAAATTTCAGGTCATTCGGACGTGGTTTGGTTGGTTTTTTGATCAAAAGCGGAATTCGGAAGATTTTGAAAACTTAGGCTTGAATCTGATGTGTTTTGGTTGATTCGATGTTGTTTGAGGTGTTTTGAAGATTGGTATAAGTTTGAATAAGGTTTTGGGATATGTTGGTGCTTTTGGTTGAGGTTCTGGGGGCCTCGGGGTGATATCGGATGGTTGACGGAGAGTTTGAGATTTTGTTGAAGCTGCAGATTTTCTGCTTCTAGTATTTCTGCACCTGCGGATTGGGGACCGTAGGTGCGATGCCGCAGATGCGAGAAGGGAGGTCGCAAAAGAGGAAAGTGGATGGGAGGCTATGACCGTAGAAGCGGTTGGTGAACCGCACCTGCAATGGCGTAGGTGCAGCTGGTGCATCGCAGATGCGGAAAGCTGGAGGATAAGTGAAAACCGCACAAGCAGCTCTTGGACCGCAAAAGTGGTACAGATGCGGTGGATTGACTGCAGATGTGAAAATGCCTGGGCTAGAAAGTATAAATTGTTTCCTTCGCAATTTTTGAGCTATTCCACCATTTTTAAGTCGGCTTTGGAGCTTTTTGGACGATTTTGAAGAAGGATTTCAAGGGAACTTCATTGAGGTAAGGATTTTGGACCTAAAACTCATCCCTATGGTATAATTTCACGGATTAGAGCTATAATTAATGGAATTTAAGGGTTAAAATTGGGGGGAAACTAGGGCTTGGTATTGGAGACCTAGACTTGAGGATTTGAGGGACCATTTGTGGTCGGATTTTTGGTACTTTTGATATGTATGAACTCGTGGGGAGATAAGGAATCCATTGATGTGAATTTTATTGAATTTTGAGACGTGGGCCCGGGGGTCGGGTTTTGGTAATTTTGGGATTTAAGTTGTAAATTGATTATTTTCACTTGGGCTCGTCCCCTTAGCATATTTTGATATCGTGATTCTGATTTTGGATAGATTCAACGCGAGTAGAAGCCGATTCGAGGGGTAAAGACGTCGTGGGCTAGAGTTTAGACCGGATTGAGGTGACTAGTGATTGTAAATGATGTCCTGAGGGTATGAAACCCTGGATTGCACATTGTTGTGTTATTTTGAAGTGACACACATGCTAGATGACAAGCGTGGAGTCATGAACTGTTGGGGATTGTGACTTAGTCCGTCCCGAATGACTATTTTACCGCGTACTTGAATGAAAACTATTTGTTATCATCATGTTTTGGGCTGAATGCCATAATTGGGCCTCGTGCCAACTATTTGAACCGTTAGGGGATTTCTATTGATATTTCCTCACTGTTTTGACTTTATACTTAAACTCAGTCATGCTATATTCTACTGTTTTTCATAACTCAGCCATGTTTACTCTGCTTTAACACTTAAATGATATTTTGGGCTGAGCACTATGTTTTACTATTGCCCGAGTGGCTGTGAGATTCTGACTGAGTAAGTTCGAGGGCCTATGTTGTGAGGAAACACTGATTATGATTGTGAGGTTGAGGGCCTGAGATATGTATGCCACGAGGTGGCTTGTTGACCTGAGGCCGAGGGCCTAGTGATGATGCCATGAGATGGCTTGATATTGCGCTTGGGCAGAAAGGGGCCCCTCCAGGAGTTTGCTCACCCCTAGTGAGCGCGGGGACCCATTGTGATGTGAGATATAGCCCGAGGGGCTGGTATTGTTGACATTGTGCCCGAGGGGCAATCCTTTATGTGCTTTTCTGTCATTTACCTGTTTAATTGTTGAATAGGCATTTCATGAAGTTTAAACTGAACTTATATGATTTTACACATCTTTACTGAATCACTGTTCTTGCCTGTTTTACTGCTTCATTATAACCTGTGATATGCCTTACATGTTTGCATATCTCTCAGTCGTTTATTTTTTATTATTACTCACTGAGTTAGAGTACTCACTTTACTCTCTGCAACCTGTGTGCAGATTCAGGCGCATCTGGTCCCGCTACCGAGTGTTGATCCTTTCTAGCTCAGGCGGATCCGAAGATTCTCTAGATAGCTGCCGGCGTTCGCAGCCCAGAGTTTCTTCCCTTATCTTATTTCTCTTTATTTTAGATTTGTATTGAACTCTGTAGACTTTCTTGTCTTATTCCAGATTTTTAGATGCTCATGACTAGTGACACCCCGATATCGGGTTGTGTTGGGTTTATCTTCTGCAACTGTACTGTTAACTGTTCTCTTTTGGATTAATTATCATGTTTTAGACTTAATTTTTAATGTTTGATTGCTTAAAACTGAAATGGGAAGTGTCGGCTGGCCTTGTCTTCACGAGAGGCGCCATCACGATCGGGTTTAGGTTTAGGGTCGTGACATGAACGGTTTACTCTGTTGAAAACTAAACTCATAGATATTCAATTTGGTAGGTAGATCATCCCGTAATTCCATGTACATTGGGCCTATCCAACTATTAGAGTTTCCAACAGAGTAAACCGTTCATTGATACAACATTGGAGTAGAGAGATATTCACATTTTTGCGGGACTGCGCAGAGTGGTAGGTGACATGTAGGTGCATCACCTACTTGCCAAAATGAGAGGCCTCAATTAAAAGCTCCAAAATCAGCCAAGAAGGGACTTTTAAGGGCTTATCAACTCAATTATTTCATCCATCTTTCAGACCAAGAAAACCATATTGAACCCCTGCAACTCCTCCCCAAAAATCCCACACAAACCCTAGGTTATTTTGGGTGTTACGATGTGATTCTAGTGCCGAAACACCCAGACAGCTTGCTAGTTTCCCTTTCTTCTTCTTGTAGCTGCATTGGGGGACTGATTTTGGATGAAGAAGGTCTAGATTTCATGAGTTATACTCAGTCCAAGGTAAATTTATGCTTCTCCTTCCACTATCTATGCTTTTACGATTATAACTCGATCGTAAAGACTAGACCTAGCGAGTTTCGAAAGAGTGGTATGTTGTTTGTTGTTGCATCATTGTTGGTTGGTTGTAAACTTATGTTTAAGTTGAATTCATAGTTGGTTTATTGGATAAGTGGCCTAATTATGTATTGTTGGTTGTATTTCTCAATTTGAAAGAAAAGACAAGGCGAAACATGTTTTAGTAACTAAAAAATCAATTTTGAGTTGACAAATTTGTGGGACTATTTTGTGGGTTGTTTTATATTGTTGTTGGGTTGTCTCTTTTGCTACTATTTTTATGGATTTTGGGAGGAGAAAGGGTACCACATAATGGCAGGATGGTTTGCTGGTCGTTCGTCATAACATTTTCGGATTATTTGACAATATTATGGTTGTCATTTTGTTTATGAAGTGATAGGGGTATGTTGGGCTGTTTTTTGGTATTTTGTGATGGATATTAGGTTGGAAAATGATGTATATATGTTATTGTTGTGTTCATGTTGTTGTTGGTGTTATGTCGAATTGGGAGGAAGTAAAGATCATAGGGGAGATGCTGCCCGTTTTATTATAAAATAAGTTTGTCGTTCGTTGTGCGATCGTTATACCTTTCATAACTTGATGATAGTATTGTTATTATTGTTGTAGATTAAGGTGTAACGAGACAAGTTTAACATGGTTATTGGATAGATTGTGATAAGGTATGTTAAAGCTAAATCTTTCCTTCATTTTGGCATGATCTCGTAACTACATGTGTTTGATAACGAGATATAAGGAGATGTTCATATTCTTGAACTTATGTGCATTATCATAGTCGCATAAGTTACAATATCCTTCCTTATACAGACTTTATATTGAGTTAAGTATTGTCTTCTTCCAGTCAAGAAAGCAGAAGGTATATATATATATATNGGCAGTACCACAGTATTTTTACCACCATCGAGCTATAATCAGTGGGCAGGCCCCTATTGGGCAACTTCCAATCAGATGGTAAGCTATATACCGAGCCTATTGCGACCGAGCGCCTATGATCGAGCCCAGAATGGCTGAGATACAGAGGTAAGTTATATAGATCCAGTTCATGATCCTCCTCCTTGATTGGACCAATGTTTAAAGAATTTTTTCCTAGTGATTGGACCAATTATTTGTAATGTGGTCAGAAACGAATCATCATTGAACTTCAAATATTTAGCAATTTCTTCAGGATTCAATGGTACTAAAATAACTTACGTCTATCTTTTGTAAAAGAATAGGTATTATGGTATCTCTCATGTTTAGCGCACCTATCATACACCCATGGCCTTCCAAGTAATAAGTGAAAAGCATCCATCTTCACCACATCACAGCAAATCTGGTCTTTATACGTCTTACCAATAGAAAAAGATACTAGGCATTGACGAGTTACCTCTAAACTATCAACATATTCAACTTCAATGTCGTAAGGATATCGATGAAGTTTTGTTGACAAGCCAAGTTTTGTAACCGTCTCTTTAGAAATCATATTTATATAACTCTCACGATCAATGATCATGATCGGCATAGTGAGCCTCAACATTTTCATTTGATCTTCCGAAGTGTGGATATTCTCATCATTTTGAGTCAAGGCTTGCTCAAGTCCTCAAGTGAAAAGTTGTGCTTCTCCTCATTTTCAAGAATGGCCTACACCATGAGCATCATCTTCTCATTTTGAGCATTTGAAAGTTCTTGATTTGGAACAAGTTCCAAAGAAGGATTTTCGGCTTCAACCTCTAAGAAAGATTCTTGGTTATCATTCACTTCCGAGGCTTTTTGGACCTCTAAAGCTTCAAGCATTTCTCCCATTTGTGAGTGAAACCTTTCAAGCGCCAAATCATTTTGGAGACTATTTTCCAAAAGCTCCTCCAAGGCACTTTGCTCTTTGTTTCCTCCTTCAAGTAGGCATTCTAACATGAGCGTGAACTTTCCATTTTGACCATGCTCAATTTCTTCCACCTCCATATCCCTATAAATTTCATCACAAAAAGTAGAATCATCATAGCGGGGGTTTGGGGACGGGAAGGACAAATAAGTACAATACTCCTAATGACCATTTTGACGACCGCGCTTATCACAAATACTCCACTCATGGGTTTGACATTATGCGCACAATCTGCCCCTGGGAGAATTTAAATAATTTTTCCACGAGTGTGGTCCTCAACAATAAGGACAAGGGTCATCAAAGTACGAACAACTACCATCCGACCAATTTTCATTACATGATGCCATTTATTTAAAAATTAAGAAAATAAACAAGAAACAAACAAGAAAAATAGACCAAGGTAAGAAAGATAATTACACAAATATTCACAACTTTAGACCAAAACACTTACGCTTATTTCTCAAACAACCTAAATACGCCAAATTGTTCCCTGGCAATGGCGCCAATTTTGATGATGTCCAAATCTACTACTAAAAAGTAAATGGAAACGGTCGCATGCAATATAATTTACCCAACTATGAGTCGGGGTCGAATCCTACAGAGAACAATATGTAGGCGATTAGGAATGTAAGAGAATTATCACTTGTTATGCAATGCCAAACACTTAGAAGGGTGATTGTGAAAATATTATAGCTAAATGCGGAAATGTAAACTAACCTAGAAATCAAGTAAAATGGCCAATGGCTACAAGTATGGATACACAGGGAATTATACTCAACGATCCAATGTATTTCACGATTTTACAAATATGAGCGAGTTTATGTTAATTAGCCTCGGGTAATAATTCTATATTAGCTTCTTCCAAAGACTAATAAGACTTCCTAATTTAATTATCCCTAAATCAATTAAGAGATTAAGCACACCCGATTATGGCTACAAGTAGTTCAATCCTATCCCTAGGTAGAATCTATAAAATGAGGATTAAAGTCTCAAGTTCTTGTTAATTAATCTTTCCCAACACCAAATAATCTTTCCCAAAATTAATTCGAAGTTAATGGGCGAATCCTAGGATTAGCTAATCCCTTTGGAAACATTAAAGAACAAGAATAATTAAAATAATAATAACTCACTTCATAAAAGATAAAAAAACATTCAATACATAAGCACAACAAGATATTTAATCCACACTTTAAACATGAATATTTCCATAAACAAGATTCAAGTGTTGGAATAAATACTATACATTTAGATATACAATACAAAGCAAGAAAATGAAGAAATGAACATAAATGGGTAAGAAATTCTCAACCAAAAGCTTCAAATCCTCAAGACCAAAGTGTGTGTGCAAGAACCCTAGTTCCAAAACTTGTTCTCTCTAGTCTAAAGACTGAAAATAAGCGAAAGATGAGCTAGGTCGTGTATTTGTGGGTTTGGAATGGAGAAAATATGATTTACCAAAATTACCCATACCTGAAGCTCGTTGACCGCACCTGCGGAAGAATCCTCGAAGGAGCAGCTCCGCAAAAGCTGACATCCAATCATAGGTGTGAAGCCTGTGTAGAATTCCCTTCTCCACAAATACGGACCTATACTCGCAGATGTGAGCTCCGCAAGTGCGAATAATTGACCGCAGATGCGGTCCCAGTGCCTGGTAGCCAATTTTCGTAGATATGGCCTCTCCCCTCGTAGATGCAATATCGCAGATGCATACAGTATTCCGCAGGTGCGAAATCACTGAAGGATTTTGCACTTTTGTTACTCTTTTTTCTCAATTCCGCTTCAATTGACTTCAAATCTATTCATGACATCATTTACCTGAAAATCTAGCAATGCACACTATAAATCACCTCATTTTATAATAAAAGGACACAAAAACTAATGAAAAGAAACTAGAATAAATGGTAAAATCACCACTCGTTAGTGGACTATGTCTATCGCTCTTTTTTGGTCACTATTGGGGATTACAAGAGTAGGGTTGATCTTTTGTTGCTTAATATGGTGGATTTTGATGTGACTTTGGGTATTGATTGGCTATCTCCGTATCATGCTATTCTTGATTTTTTTCCCTAAGACCGTGACGTTGGCTTTGCCGGGATTGCCGAGGTTGGAGTGGAGAAGTTCCTTGAGTCATGTTCCTAGTAGAGTGTTATCTTTTCTGAAGTCTCAATGGATGGTTGATAAGGGGTGCTTGGCATACTTGGACTTTGTTAGAGATGTGAGTGATGACACTCCCACGGTTAATCCAGTCCTTGTGGTGAGTGAGTTTTCAGATGTGTTCCCGAGAGACCTACCGTGCATACCACCCAATAGGGATATTGATTTTAGTATTGACTAGGTGTCGGTCACTCCGCTCATATCTATTCCACTATACCACATGGCTCCAGAAAAATTGAAGTGATTAAAGGAACAGTTATAGGAATTGCTAGATAAAGGTTTCATCAGGCCAAGCGTGTCACCTTGGGGTGCTCT